CAACACACACTCTTCCTGCCTCAGCCTCCCAGGGTACCAAGATTACAGGCTTGTACTCCACTTCTGGCTTGTACTTTTATTTTAAAACTTTCCCTTTTGACCCAGCTGTTCCCTTTTAGGTGTCTTGTCAAAAGAGTTAAAGTCACCATACCACAGAGATACGTGCACACCCATGTTTATAGCAGCACAAGTCTTAATAGCTAAATCTTGGAAACAGCCCATATGCCCATCAGCAGATGAACAGATAAACAAAATGTGTATTTATATACAATGGAGGATTACTCCGCCGTAAAGAAGGCTATTTTTAGGTAAATTGATGTATCTTGAAATCATAATCTTAAGTGAAATAATTCATACACAAGAGTTTAAATACCACGCTGCTGCTCACATGTTGTGGTGTGACAAACCCAAAGTGTAAAATAGGACCAAAACAGAGGATAGATACTGGGAAAGAGGAAGAATTTAGTCAAGTGGGAAAGGGAATTGGGGGCGGGGGGAGGAAGCAAGGGGAAGGGATTTTAAATAAAGAGAGAACTGAAGTAAAAAATGAAAACAGAGCTTTTGTAAATCCAGAGGGAAAAAAAGGTTGAAGGGAGGGGAGGAGAATGGGAAAAAATTAAGATATGTTTTGTACAGATACAAATTCCCTATGATAAGTGTGATATTTATGTCTTGCAAACAAGTATTAATAAAATATGTTTTTAAATTTCCTTCCTATAGACAATAATTTAAAATGCATTAAGTGAGGATGTCAACTTATTATCTAGCATATTCTAGTTTTCTCGAAGAAAATTTGTTAAACCCAAGAACTATCAATAGGAGCTAGAAGGATGTCAGGATTGAGTCAGCCTCTTTCTGGCTGCGCTAACCCCGCCCCTCGTCTTGGGCCTCCTTGTGGGTGATGCATCGTGAGCTGTGCCTGACTTGGTACTGATTTGCACTGCTGGCTTCAGTATTTGCCTTCAGCTGGGAGTGGGTGATGTCTTCTGCCTAACGCAGAGGTCAGGACTCACTCAGGAAAGAACTCTCAGGCTGTTTGGAGTCACTGAAGAAATGTCAGAATGAATGAGTGAATGAAAATCAGTCTCTGAGATGTGCAAATTGGTACTTCCTTTAAATTATTCAGCTATATGGAGGCTGGGGATTTAGCTCAGCGGCACAGCTTCTGCCTGGGAAGTGCAAGGTAGTGAGTTTGATTCCCGATACCTGAAAAAAAACAAAAAACAAACAAAAAAATAAATTATTCAGCTATAAACACTGTTAAAGTGCAGCAAAAATGTGTCGTTCATGGTTGATCTTTTATTTGTAATTTTTGCGGTGGCAGGGATGGACCTCACGGTCTCCTGCATGTGAGGCAAATGTTCTATCATTGTGCTATAACCCCAGCCCTCGCATCTGTTATTCTAAAGATCAGTAGAAGAAATAAAATTTTGGGAGGTGGGTAGATATTTTTTATTTATCTGTATCAGCATAACATAGTCATTTTTTCAGGAAAACATATTCCCCAGTTTGCTATGCTTGTGTATAAAGGATTAGAATTTTTGAACTCACCTTTAGGCCTACGATTCTATATATGGATCTGTCTGCTTCACACTGCTGGGAAACTTATACCAGGTACGTCCGTGGTAATGGGCCATCCAGCACTGCGGGACATAGGAATCCTGCAGTGTATGGAACAGATTTCGGGCTTTCGGGTCCAGTGGCTATAATCTTAAAATTCAGTTCTGCGTCTTTCCTCGGTTTCATCCCACCCCAGAGTGATGATGATCCTGATTCTATTCCACCTCAAAAGGGACATCGAGGCAAGTAAACACAAGGCCAAGATTTCACGTAATGCATGCTCGGGGGGCTCAAGGTTGGCATCACCCTCCCGATCTTTCACCTACCATATTTGACATTTGCTTTCATGCAGGGAATGGCAAGGCATGTGATGGACCTGGAGCAGACCGAGGCTGGGGCACCTGCAGCTGCATTGCTCCCTCTGTGCTTTATCTTCTCTTGACAGGGATGTGCTGAGTGTTATCTTTAAGTGTCTGTGAATTTTGAGGGGAGCAGATCATGTCCTAGGAATTCCCGAACTGATCTGTGAATGCCCCATGAATGGGTAACTATAGGGCTACAAAATGCTTGGGAATATAAACTTCCATTGTGATCACTGTGTGATTTAGGGCATGTTATTTTTCCTTTTTAGTGTTTCTTTTCCCATAGTAAATAGAAATGACAGTATCTGCACCTTCATCATTGTAAAATGAAAGAAACAGGCATATTACACATAAATAAAGTAAATACAACACTGTAGGTATTCAGAGTACCCATCAATCAATAAGCAAAAATCTATATATTATACATATCTAAACCAGTGATACAAATGCAGTGCTTCACTCTGTAATCCCAGGACTCTGGGTGCCTGAGGCAAAAGGATTGCAAGTTTGAGCCAAGCCTGGGCAACTTCGAGATCTAACAAGCCTCTGTCTCAAAATAAAGACAGTAAAAATAGCTGAGCATGTAGCTCAGTGTGAAAGCCCTGAAATTAATTTCCAGTACTAGAAAAAAATAGTATACCCTCCTTAAGCATTATAGCTGGTAAGACATACATGAGAACATGCTTAATCTATGAATAAAACTTAAAACAATGAAGATTTTTTGTTTTTATTTTTTGTTGACTTATTATTTTGTTCAAAATTGAAAGCGCTGATGCTCTGTAGGACTGGCCAGGGCATAAGGAATGGGAGGCAATCCTGTACTATTCATGAAAGTGTGAAAAGATGAAGCTTTGGAAAGGACAGTGTGGCAGTTTCTACTCAAATGGCAACTACCGTGTTCTTCCACCTAGACATTTTAAGTATTTCTTACTGAAGAAATATTCAGTGTGTGGGCAAAATCATCTATAGGCATATTCAAACAATATTCCTTTAAAACAGAATTATTAAAAATATCTAAATATCCATTGACAGTGGGATATTCAAATAAGTTATGGTTTACCCATACTCTGGAATATACTTTATACTAGTTTACAGATCTTGGGATCAGTCTGTATGGATTGAAATGGGAAAATATCCAAGACATTTTAGGTGGGCAAGTGTGAGATGAGACACCCTGCATTCTTCAATAAGGGTAAGACAACTATTTTGTGTACACGCTAATACATGTAAACACACAGACAATGTCAGTAAATCAGTCTACCAAGCGCAGAGCCTGACTGGGAATGAACACTCAGGTCTAATAAGTTTCTTCCCCCTATTTGTTATGAGGTATAAAAGCTGGTCTGAATGGGGTCTAGATACAGGCCTGTCTAGAGCACTGAAGTGAGAGGAGGTAAGCTTTTGTCTTGCTTTTTTTTTGTACATGGAGCACACAGCATAAATATGCAGCTGCTTGGGAAACATGTCAATCAAGTGTCAATCAGAAACTTCACAGAGAGTGATTTAGGATCAAGATACTTTGTAAAAAAAACATAGTTATCATCCATGCAGGTAAAGGAAAATGGGAAATTGTGGCAATCAATTTCCTGAAAAGTACTTCCTTGCTCTGAATTCATATTAGTGACTTGGTTCCCTTGATTAGCAGATCGAGCTATAAATCTTTCCAAGGAAATAATGTTAACGAAGGGCCTGAGATTCCCAACCAACCCTTATTTCACAGATGTTTATGAAACAATCTAGGCACCAGGCACTGCAGTGGGCAGTGGAGACAGTGTAAAGATAACAGAACAGTGTCATGTGTCATGGGTATGTTCGAATATTCCACTCCACCAACAAACATTTGTCGAGAACTTCAGAGCAAACCAGGCCAAGACAACGCTGCCATGAACAGAAAAGGTCAGTGCCCTCAGGGAGCTCACCTCCAAGGCCAGCACACAGACTTTAACCGCTGAACAAGTAGAATGTACCCTGAAAATTACAGTTGTGAAAGGCAGAAAATAACAAGAGAGATGTGACTGAGAAGTTATGTGTGCTACAGAGAGTGAGAAATAACCTGGCATTGGTCACTGAAAATGAGAGCTGCAAGAGGGAGTAGAATGAAGTCCGGGGACAGGAATTTGCAGGTAGTTCTGTTTGAGAGAGGAGGGAGGAAAAAGAATGAAAGAAAGAGCCATTTAGGAGTAAGGAGACTGGCTACTCCCCCTCAAGATGGCTGGCCTGCGTTATGACATGTGGGGGAAGACGGGGGAAATAACAGAGACTTCGCTGCAGAGAGCTCCACTGCAGCGGTACCCTTGGTAGGAGATGGGCTTTGGGTGAGGTCATGGTCGGAAATGTGTTATCCACAGAAGTGGTTAAGCATATCAGGTGCGCTGCCTAATTAGAATATGTGCTATGAGCTGCTGGGGAGATTGTGAAGCTGGGGTGAGAGATGCTGCCAGAAATGCCAGTGTTGGGGCCTTTGAGAGTCAGAGAGCCAGGGAAAAGGGCTGACCTGGGGTTGACCTATCAGGGATGAAGATGGACAAGGACAGGACCTTGGAGGGACCGTCTTTCCTCCAGACGATCATCCTTTCTGCATAAGCAGAGCATCTTGTAGGGATGCACCCTCTCAACTCCTCCCTACTGGCCAGATTTTGTACTGTGCCTCCAGGTTACTCTCCAGGAAACAGGCATGCATTGGAGGAACTCAGAGAAAAGGCCTCTGTTCAGTAATAGTCACCTGAAGGCATCAGATTTTATTTATTTGTTGCTAAAGTGCCCAAATCATTAGGTTTATCCAAAGACAATCTGAATCATTTCTGTCATAAATCCCCAAGTATCTACTTATTTCTTCCCCAACAAACCTTTTACAAAGTGATCAAAGCTTAAACTAGAAAAGAAGCTATTTATTTCTCAGAAGGTTCGAGGAAAACGTCACATTCCCAGACAAAAGAGCAACAAAACCAATTGAGTTCTATAGCACAGGTGGTTCTTTGCAAAAGTACATTCCCAAAACAGCCATCAAAGGAATGAAATTGTTGCTTGACCTCTGCTAATTGTTTCTGATAGCTAAAACTTGCTGTTTGGGATTTGCAGGTATGAATATAAGCAAAAGTGAGATAACAAAAGAAACTTCGCTGAAACCGTCTCGGAGGTCCCTGCCTTGCCTTACCCAGAGCTATGCTCATTCACACAGCTTGTGCCAATCTACCTCCCTCCTCCAGTCAACCGAGAGTGAATCTCAGGCTCCCACTTCAGTGACCTTAATCTCTGCCGACAAAACAGAGCAGGGTGAGCAACACTTCTGATTTTCTTGTTCAACATGTAAAGTGTGTGTTCATCTCATTTCTTTCCTTCTCCTTTCTTCCACTTGACTAGTATTGATGGAAATGTGCAGGAAGGAGGCTGCCGCTGGAAGCAGACCAGCACCTTGGACACTCGGACAGGCATCCATCTGGGCCCAGTGTGTTTCTGTTCCTCCCTTGCCTTGCGAGTGGCCGGTCCCATAAGCACCTGCACGTGGTACCTGCTCTTGGCCGTGGAAGACAGACACACCTCCTGAGTCATCGGCCCAGAGGCCACTGTCTGTCTGTGTGGTTAGGAAATGCCACTCCTGGGGAGAGCTTATAACCAGTGCTCATGTGGAAGATGTCAGCAATGAAGAATTCAGTTTCCTTAATTTGTACTGACAACAGTGGGCTGGGGATATAGCTCAGTGGCATAAGCACCTGCCTGGCAAGCACAAGGTCATGAGTTCAATCCCCAGTACCGCAAAAAAAAAAAAGATATGGTTGCATGACCATGAACTGGTGTTGGCATCAAGTGTTTTCACACTAAGGCTGAACACTGGAGACAAACCGGATAGAGGCTACTTCCAAGAAACATAACTTTGGGACATATGTGAGGCACACTACTACAAGTGCCCACTCATCAGACAAACCAGTAAGCCCTAGACAACTTAAAATCAAGAGGGACATGTGATCTTGGTCCCTGTCATGTAGTAGGTAGGATGTGGTTTCAGTTCCACTTTGTTTTCAAGCTTTTTTCCTATCAGAGTTTATTCCCTTGTGAGTCCTACGGGCTGTTTCTTCCCCTAGTTAACTTGAAAATATCAACATTGTCTTTTCAATAACATGGCAAAATCACTGAATAGTTTAGTCAATTTGCAGCCATGTTCAGTAGGGAGGGTAGTAATTGCTCAACAAGATAAAGAAATTAAAACATAGCATTTCCCTTATCAAGAGTAAATTTTAAATAACTAATTTCAACTCATTCACTTAAAATATTTCTTCATGTTCACCCACCATATAAGTGCTAAACACCATGGTAAGTTTTGTTTTTATGCTTTACTTTCTCAAAACTACAAAGTTTGCTGTTATTGTTTCAGTGAACCCTGAGGAGAAGAACAAAGACTCTCTGCTCAAATGTTCCTTTGCTGATCTCAGTGATTTTTGCTTGGGTGAGTTGATTTTCAATATTTTCCTTGTCCTTTCCCTCTCTGCGAAGGTAATCTGTGGTCTCCAAACCTAAAACTTTTTAAGAAAAAAATCATTTTAGTCATTAATATTTGCTGTATGATTATACTATTCTAAGTTTATAATTGTTAAAATATTTATTACCCATTTTGAAACTCAAATAACACAAGAGGATTTGTGATAAACAGCAGCATCATAATAAAACATGTTTGTTGTTAGCATCTTAGAAATTCCTTCTAATTCTATATGAATAAGTACATTTATACTATAATTTCTACATTTAGAAAATTCTAGTACTCAATATTTGCAATGAAGGTAATACTGAGACTCTACCCTGCCCCTCTATTTCTAAATAATATAAATTTATTATCTTCCAATAAAATTTATCATTTATTAATATTGTTTATTGTCACTGTAACACTGACAGTTTCTATCATCTCTTTTGCCTTTTGATGTTATCACATGAGATTTGCTTCAGTTCAGCAAGAGATGCAATCAAGTTTTCACTTGCTGTCCTGTCTCGTGAGCAATGACTTTACACTGGGACTTTTTTTATAAATTAAAGAAAAATAACGTTGCTTTAGAGTTGACTGGAGGAACAGAATTAATAGAAAATACCTGTATAATTTTGCAAGGGGATATATTAGGTAGGCTTACAGGATCAGAGGCAGGAGAATCCACAACGACCTTCTGTGTGCTGGAGAACCAAAGGATCCAGGAGCTGCGCAGCAAAAGACAGCAGAATCTCCAGAACAAGTGGAGTCAAGAATTCCGTGCCAGCCCAGGGCCAGAAGCCTGGAAGCTCAAGGAGATTCATCAGCGTGAATCTGAAATGGAAGGCGGAGGAAACTGGAGACCTAGAGACCAACATCCAAAGGCAGCAGCAGCAGAAGACACATCTGCTCAAGAAGACTGGACCTCTTCAAAATGGGTGCACTTCCTGCTTCTGCCCCTTTTTATACCACCCAGGGTACAAGCCTATTGGTTCGTGCAACCCACAACTAGGGCACGTCTTCCCCTCCCAGTTCGATGGTCTATACATCAGTCACCCACAGGCACAGCCAGAACTTGCCTGGTACTAAGCTACTTGCATTTCTTACTACAGTCAAGTTGACACATCATGATTAGTGATGACAAACATAAAGCCAGAGTTAATCAAGAAGTAATACTAATTTGAGCGAACATTTGTTTTGTAAATCCAGAGTGAATTTATCTACAGCCAGCAGAAATTCAGCCCTAAGTTTTCAGTACTGAAAACATTATTGTTCAGGCTACATTGCCGATGTCAGATGTTCTCAGCCCTAGCTCCACGTTTACCCCTCTTGGGAGATCTCAGAGTTCCCTGTTCCACATCGAGAAGCTCAGTTCTAATTTGCCTAGAGAGTGGATGGGATATCTGTACTTTTACTGTTCACCAGATAAATAGTGCATATCCCAGGATTAAGAATTTCTAGGCTGAAAATTGCATCTTGTTCTTTTTCCAAGTATATTACTATTAAGATACTTAAACTGTTTTTGAAGTCATAAGCTGTGTTATTTATAGCAACATTCTGAATGATTACAAATTAGTCATGTATCTGATAATGCTGTGTGTGTGTGTGTGTGTGTGTGTGTGTGTGTGTGTGTGTGTGTGATAGATACAAGCTGGCTATGTCCTCTGATTAAAGGCTCTAAAATGTTCATTTCATACACAACATCAAAAGAACATTTGACCAGAAGAAGTATATTGTAACAGAATGCAAACATCTTTCTTATAAGAATTAATTCTGAAGGAAGTTGCCTTTATCACTTATTTTCTGATAAGAAAACAAAATGAAAATACCTGAAGTTTTATTTGTCCAATATATACGTACATGTGGTAAAGTTTCCATGGTATGTTTCACTAACCATTCTTGTACATTAGCAGGAGAGAATAATTAACAATTGCTGTAGTCATACAAGCCTTTCATTTCAATTGCATACATCAAATTTTTGGACACTTGTCATTCCAAGTATTAGAGGCAGTTTCTTTCTAAATATGATTAGCATAACTGTATCCCCAAACTTCACATTTCTTTTCCCATCATTGCAATGTGTCTCAATTACTCAGCCACACGAGGCATATTTATATCTACCTAAGTATTGTATCTTCTACTCAGTATTTTAGCGCCCTCCAATATCAGCCTAATATTCATTCATGTTAGAGAGATTTTCTAGCTTTTAAAGAGATTAAAACACATGTGAAATGTGAGCCGATGGCCTTTATAAGAAGACAAGGATGACTATAGTAGGACTGAGCATCCCAGGAATGTGTCTGCATCTAACACCTGCCTGGGATATATTTTTGGAGACATCCTCATATTTCTAATATGCATACTTTCATCATCTTTGAGAAGAAGCCAAACAAAATGATGTCAGATGTAACAAGGTTATAATTAAATAATTTATGAATATCTTAACAGTACATGTTCTCTTCTAAATGCAGAGCAATTATATTGGTGATATTATTTTTCCAGTGCAGAATATTAACTCTAACTCTGTATTGGGTATTGCATGGGAATCTCCAGGTAACAATAGGCTCTGATACCTAAAGAATACATCTGATTAGTGGGCTTTCTTTCTTACCACGAGCTACTTTGAGCGGCCCCATGAGAATATTACTACTATGGCAACGCTGACTGCATGCAGTCGATGCTGCATTGAGGATTGGCCTTTTTCATTGTTCAAAGTGAGAGCAGTAAAGAAAGGACTATTCTATTGACTCAGAGCAGAAGTTTCACGAAGGCTGCCTAACAGAATGTGTGTACCTCACCGACGAAGCCCTGCTTTCCCAGCCAGCACGCTGGTCAGATCTGCATTCTTGCATCCAGAACCAGCTGTGTGACTATCATGTTCCTTAACCTCTCTGAGCACCAGTGATCTCATTTTCAAATTAAAGCCAATGTTACATGCTTTGTAGGATTTTTTAATTAAATTAAAAAGAGTAATTTCATCACAGTTCCTACCACGTCACACAGATTCCACAAATATTTGTTCATTGTTTTATAATTTACTTATTTTGCTCACGTTTCACACCAAGTTCTGCTGCATCCAGTAATTTACTGAGCTCTTTCCTATTGTGTTTTTCCCAGCTTTATCTCACCCAAATCTCATAACAGTCTTCTATGGAAGGCTGTATTACCAGACACTTTACAAATGAGGGGGAGCTGATTCTTCCGAGACAAAATAACTCACCACGTGCTACGTAGCTGGCCAATGTGGAACACAGATTCCGACCCTGAAAATCATGGTCCCTAGCTTTCTCTCCTCGTCACACAGCAGGCATGGAGGCTTGTGAGGTGAAAAGTGGCTCGTGATGTCCACAGACCACGAGTTCTGTAAGACATTAGGAAGTGTCAGGCTTGAACCAAGAGATGGGGAAAAGTTGCTGGGTGAAATGTATTTGGGAAATAATTGGTTAAAGGAGTGAACTGAATTGGGAGATTTCATTTTTTTTTTTTTTTTTAGATTTTGCTTCGTTTTTTTCTTTTTCTTTCCTTTTTGATTGACACTTCATAGCTCTTAATTACACTTGCACAGAGCAGGTTGCAAAGATAGAGTATTATTCCACCCTGTAACATCTCCACCTAGACACATGTGCATGCAACACACACACACACACACACACACACACACACACACGGAATCACATGAAATCATTCTACAAAGTCCTGGTCCATGTGTGTTAGGGTTTATATCTAAATATCCCCCCAAAGCCTCTTAACCCCTCTTAACCCCTCAGGTGGGGATTTTTGGAGGTCATTGGATCACAGGGTTGTGATTCCCACCAGTGCATTTGTCTCCTGATGAGTTTCTGGCTAAATGGACTTTGGGAAGAGAAGCCTTGTAGGAAGAGGTGGGCCACTGAGGCGTGGCCCGGAAAGCTGTGTAACCTCCTCCCCCTTTGCCTTTCTCTGCTCCCTGCCTCGGTGCCATGAGCTCTTTCTCTTCCACCAGGCCTCTCTGCCATGCTGCCCTGGCTGGGAGCCCACTGGCTCTGGACTGAATCCTCCACAAAATATGAACCAAAATGAACCTGTCCCCTTTTCAGTTGCGGGAGTCAGGTACCGTGTCTCAGGGATGAGAGAGTAAATAAGACAGCGTGACCGTTATTTAAAAACCCTTGTGCAGTCCTAACATTTCTTACTGATTCTGGAAAGCCCGTTATCATTGCCCTCACTTTTTTGTTCTCAGTGTGCTGTAAAATGAGAACACGGACACCACATTTCCACATCAACAGTCTGCACTCTATCCTTGATACATGTCCTAAATGCGTGTCACTTAGAAATTAAGTACACAGGTCTTATCAAGACCCACATGATCCTAGTTGAAAACAATCAGAACAAACATTTATCTGATCTTGTTGTGAGATCAGCACTTTCCTGAGTGACTCCCTCCTGCTGGAAGTAGAAATTTAGGTGTGTGTTTACTTTCTGTCAGCATGATGACAGAAAGTGATCGTCTAGCTGGGTGTCATATGTGTGGTTCCTGCTTATTGAAACTATCAGGGTCACCCGAGTACACAGTGATTTTGCTTTTATTTTGCAGCATCCAATAATCTTCACTAATTTCCATTATTTTCCCATCAGTATTTCACATTAAGGTGGTATAAGAAACAACTTCCTATTATAATGAAAGAACATAATTTCCCCAGTCCTGATAACCTCTGGTCAATGTAAATCTTTTCAGTCGCTTACTAAATGCGTCTGATAAGTCCTCTTGGCTCAACATCCAAAATGCACTCAGAGTCCAACCACGGCTCTCCACTGCACGGCTCTGCCCACTGCTCTTGGTGACATGGAAACTTCTTAACTTTTTTACTCACCCAGACTCTTGCCTTCTTGCAGCCTGCTTTCTGCACAGCAGCTACAGGAAATTTAACTCTTTAATAAGAGTTAAATGAAACCTCATCATTTCTCCACTCAGGTCTCTCCAGGGTTTCCCATTAAATTTAAAATTGAAACTT